TTCCTTCCTTCCTTCCTTCCTTCCTTCCTTCCTTCCTTCCTTCCTTCCTTCCTTGACTTCCTCTGGGCAAAGAGCAACTTATGGAGAGCAGAGCAATGCTTCATGTGGCTTTGGTCAGAATGAAACCCATAGTGGTGAGATTGTTTGGGTAATGTTCTCCATACCCATGGTTATTTGATTAGCAATAAAAGTATATCCTTGTAGTGTGTTTTGGAGGTGGAATCTGGCCATGAGGAGTTTTTCTTCACCAGCACCATGGGCTTATTCCCCCCTCCCCTACAAGGGAAAGGGAAAAGGAGGGAAACTCCCCTAGCGGGACACATTTGTAGGGGGTAGATTGCAACTCTCCATACCAACTGAGCAGAACAGAATTCACAGCTGTGCATGCAAAGACAGATGTTATTAGCTTTTATCCTTTTCAAAGAGTTGAGATATATCTGTCAAGATGGATATATATTTGTACATACAAAGTCTATAAATATATATAAATATAAATATATATATATATATATATATATATTTGGTTTATTCGGGGCCATTCCACCTGAACTGTTGTACAAATGTACAATGTAAATTTAAATGCTTATAATGACTCTTCCAGCCCATATGTACACAGTCACACTCAGATGAATGGTAAATGTCTCCTGACTCTTCTTTGGCAGCATTTTTGCAAGTTCATATGCTCTTGCTTTCCTACCAGTTGTGATACTGTGTACCTCATCGCCCAAACTAGAAAAGGCACCAAACCAAGTACACACTTTTTGGTAAAAGGAGTGGTAGAATTACTTCCCCCAGTTCTGTCACCAGGTGTTCTTGCTGCTCAAAAGGGGAGCCATAGAGCCAGTCAAGGTATAGAGCAGATCCTTTCTGGGAGCAATCTCCTGCTTTCTCTATTTCTGGCCTCACTTCTCCACTGACTTACAGTGTCATTAAAGTACAGTTAATGACGTTTGTGCTTTTTCTTTTCTCTTGTTTTGGTTTATTTATTTATTGAGGACATTACAATATTAAACTTCGTATTACAAGTCTAACAAACGTTCAGTATGTCAGATGTTTAAGCAGCTCTTTAAAGTATCCAGTAATATCTCTACCAGCTTTTAGTATGTTTTTGGAAAAGGAGCTGCTGACTGAGAATTAGAATGATGTGAAACCTGTATAGTTAGTCCTCAGCTTACAACAGTTCCTTTAGTGACTGTTCAAAGTTACAACATCACTGAAAAAAGTGACTTATGACCATCTTTCACACTTATGGCAGCATCCCCATGGTCATGTGATCAAAATTCAGATGCTTGTCAACTTACTCCTATGTTTACGATGGTTGCATTGTCCTGGGATCATGTGGTCATCTTTTGCGACCTCCTAACAAGCAAAGTCAATGGGAAAGCCAGACTCACTTAACGACCGTGTTACTAATTTAACAGTTGCAATGATTCACTTAAGGACTGTGGCAAGAAAGTTTGTAAAATGAGGCAAAACTCGCTTAACAAATGTCCCACTTAGCAACATAAATGTTGGGCTCCATTGTGGTCGTAGGTTGAAGAATACCTGTATTGTCAACCACACCAGATCTTGATCCATTTCTTTTACTGTGTAGAAGCATAAGTGAATTTGGCCACAAGTAGAATAATCTCTCTGCTAGGTAAATGGAAGGCCACTTGTCTGCTCCAGTTGCTAGTCATAAACCCAACACATTCTTGTTGTGGCTCTGAGGCTTGAGCCTGCATTGTTGGAGGAAGAGGACTCGGACAATGGGGAAGAGGAGGAATTGAGAATGCCTTCCTCCCCAGGACCTTCCTCTTCGGCAATGCCTTCCTCCCTAATTGTGCCTCAGGTGTCGGCAGATAACTGAGAGGGAAAGCCTGGGGCTAATCAGGAGAAGGAGGAGGGCATATTGGAGCAGCCTCTGACAGAGAATCAAGTAGACTAATGCTGGCTTGATGCTAGACAACGTCGCAGGAAAAAGTGTGAGCTGCAACGCAGGAAGCGGGGACGAATCAGAGGCTGAGCTGAGTGACTGACGCACCCCACAGGGGATAAAAGTGGGTGTGTTTTCTCTGAGAGCTCCGCACGGGACAAAGTGTGAATTTTTCTGTGGAGCTTCGGTGTAGTCTGTTTATTGGGGGCCTTCATGATTTATGGTTCTGTTATCTTGTCGGACTTGGCAGGCAGCGTGTGTGTGATACTGCCTGCTTCAAAGAATTAACTCTATAGTTGCTGAATCTTCTTGCCTGCCTGTATTTTGTCAGAGTTGTGGACTTTCCATCCTCATTGGAAAGGTGAGACATAACACATTATGATGAAATTGTATCTAATGGTGTCATCCCATTACTAATGGAAATTGGGGAGAGCAGCATGCGGCCATGCATTCAGTCTACCAAATCTGCTCATGAACTCTGAAAACATCTGGGGGGACATTGGTAATGGTGAGGGGGAAGAGACCAAGAAGGAGGCTCTATGGTGTTTTACAGCATTTAGATGCAGTCCATCATAATAACAGTATCTATATTGCCTGCCCATCCTCTCATACCATTTTGCCAATTGCATGGGACACGATGATGATTGTGGTGGTGATGATTAAAAAAAAATCTGCTACTTTCATTTAATTGGAAAGGGACAAAAGGAAAATATTGGTGGGATTGGTTTTGTAACTGGAATGGTACCAGGAGGAATTTCTTTTGTGGGCATAAACTATTCCCAAGTATATGTTACAGAATCATTGGGGGAAATAGTGGTTACAGAACTAGAAATTTCTTGAAATCCAATGCATCTGTTCATAAGATGTATTTGCTCCCTTATACAGAGATGCAGAAATGAAGGGAGTGTAAATCTTTTGAAATAAGTGTTTCAAAACACATTTTTTACCAGTGTTATTCCTTTGAATGCTGGGCTTCAGATTTTTTTTTTTCAAAATCTTAAATCAGCCGTGTCTTACCAATTGCCCCAGGCTCTTTTCAAAGTGCCTCCCATCTTTTTCTTGTTAGGGGCCTTTTTCTTCTTATGAGGGCCTGGGGAATCGGGAACAACTAGAGGAATAAAAACTGAAAAGGTTGCAAGTGAAGCTGTACATCTGCATACCAACAATTATTGTTAATACTGTTTAAGTAATATATGTGTAAAATTCAAAATGTTTTCAGTTCTGCCAGTGATTCTGTAAGCATTGAGTAGGGGGTGGACATTCTCAGTGTTGTGAATCACCACAATCACTAGCAAACATTCTTAAAGTATTATTACACTCTTCTAAGATCATTCTCTCTCTGGTTGCAGCTGCCATGTAAATTTGGACATCAACCATGTCAAAAATGCCTTCTGAATTCTACTGCCCCTTAACTTTCACTCCTCCCCATTTATATTTTAATTCAAGTTCTTAACTCTCACTTGATGTGTGCTATATTTGCTCATGAACTCAGGCATAACTTTATTATTGTAGGTTGGGTTGCAGACCATTCAGACCATAGAATTTGGCCTTGGCTTAGGTATTTCTAACAGATTTCGCCTGACTCACAAGCTGACAGGAATAACTAGCCTTGGATCCAAATTAGTAGAAGTTGTGAGAACACATTTAAAACTCATTCTGCTGATAGAGAAATTGTATTCCTTTCCTTTCATAAACATGGTAAGCGGCCCAGATTCAGGTTCACTGCCAGATCCCATCATAGGCTGCTGTTCCAACTCCAGGGGAATTCTCCTGACTATCTTAGACCTGAAATCAAAACCCAACACTTAGAATTCATTAGTTCAAAGAGGCCTCTGTGGTTCAGTGAGATGGATAGTATGACTCTGACAGGTTGCTGTGTGCTTCCATCTGTTTTGGATCTGAAGGACAACTGCTACAAGCTGAGTATCTGGAACTGGCAGGGTTCCAGCACAATTTCTTTATGAAAGTGTGAGCTGATATTTTACCTTCTGAACTTTCATCATTTCCTGGTGCCTTCCATTAAAAGGAGTAAATACTGGCTGACATTTTGTATCACACAGAAGTTTGATTCATACGTTAATAGGGATCAGAGGAAGAACTGTGATTCATCTTTCACTAGCCTTTTATACAAGATGGGAAGTGGAATTTCTGGGTTACTAACAAAATAAGATGCCTGAAATTGAGGCAATGGTGGAGCTTATAGTGCTTTGTGGCAATGATTCATCCTTGAGGAATCTATATATTTGATTGTCCCCAAATACAAACATGAAGGTAAGCAAGAACAAGTTAGCACTTTCTGTGTTCCAGAAGATATCACTATCCTAAAATTGTCAGTAGTAGCAGTCTTTTAATATGATACAATTTTTCAAGCTGGGAAAATAAGAAATGAGGTGTTAACTGGGATAAAGTTACATTGATTTTCACAGTTCTGTATAGCATACTAATTAGAGAAAGATGGTTTCTTTTCCTGTGTATCCTCTAAGTTTAAAATAGATAGAAAAAAAAATGATTAGGACTGAAATGACACTCCCTACCTTCTACAAACAATATCAGAGCCAAAACATATTCAGGGCTGGGTTTATTTGAATTGAAAGTATCAGAGATACTAATTCTTGAAAGAGAGAACACATCTTTTATTAAAGCAAAAAAAAAATCAATTATCTTTAAAAAATTACAAGTAGTCCATGTTGAGTATCATTCTTTGGTATTGGAATTTCAAGGATGCCATTTGACATTTCTATCAATCCTATGTTCCAGACATCATGACTTTTTTTTTTCTTAAAAGCCTCCTTCAAAGCAGCCCAGTCAAGATGGAGTTTTAGCCGATCTGACAAAGAATACATGCTGTCTGTGTTTGAGGCAAAAAAAAAAAAAAAAAACCAGAGGATTAGAAGAAGGATTCTGAACACCATCCAGGATTAGAAAGCATTCTAGTCTGCAAGCTAATGTTTCCAATGGGGACAAAGTCTCAGCTTCGCCCATATGGCATTTGTCCTTCATATTTGTTTAGGGAGCTTTGTTGCTTAACATCAG